TCAACCCGTTCCTGGCTGTCTGCCTTAAATCTGGAAAGGCGGCTCCGGATTAGATCAGCTGTGGCCATTTTAACCTTTGGTGCTCGAAGTTGTTAAGCATCAACAAAGTGCTGTTTGTTGAAGCTTAACACAAATCTGTGGGGCTGTTCCTTCCTTGCGGCTCCCGTTGGGATGTGCGTGAAGCTAAGGTCACCTCCATGTCCTTCTGGAAGAGTTCCAGAGTTACAGGTAGCCCTTGATTTACCAGAGTTCATTTAGTGGCTTTTCAAAGTTACGACGGCACTCAAAAAAAGGTGACTTATGACTGTTTTTGCACATTTATGACCTTTGCATCATAGGGGGATTATGGGAGCGACAGGGCGCTCCCATGTGACACCTCTCCTGCGCGAGCTGCACTGGCTCCCGGTGGTCTTCCGGGTGCGCTTCAAGGTGTTGGTGACCACCTTTAAAGCACTCCATGGGTCAGGGCCAGGGTATTTACAGACCGCCTTCTGCTACCGATAGCCTCCCACCGGTCAGTACGCTCGCACAGAGTGGGCCTCCTCAGGGTGCCGTCCGCCAGACAGTGTCGGCTGGTGACCCCCAGGGGGAGAGCCTTCTCTGTGGCGGCGCCCGCCCTCTGGAACAACCTCCCCCCAGAGATACGTACAATATCAGACCTCCGGATTTTTCGTCGGGCCCTGAAAACCTATTTATTTCAACTAGCCGGGCTGGCTTGATTCCACAGTTTTTGGGTTAAATTTTAATTGATTTTAAATTGGGTTTGTTTTAAATTGCAGCCAAAAATATTTAATTATTTTAAACTGTTTTTAAATTTTGTATGTTTTGTTTTTATTTTGGCTGTTCACCACCCTGAATCCTATTGGAGAAGGGCGGTATATAAATTGAAACAAATAAAATAAATAAATAAATGATCAAACATTTCACACTTACGACCAATGATCACATATCAACATTCAGACCAGAGGCGTGTTCTACTTATCTTTACTACTGGTTTGCAATGGGATCGTGGGAGTGCGCGCTCGATTTGCTCTCGCTCGCTTCACCCACGCACGCGCTTTGCTTCTGTGCAGATTGCTTCTGATGACATCAGGGTTAGTGGGCGGAGCCTCCTGCCGGTTTTACTAGCGGTTCTATAGAACCGGTCTGAACCGGGAGCAACCCACCACTGATTCAGACGCCTGGCATCTAGTTCATTTTTATTTTTTTTATTTTTTTATATGTCAAGTTTTTTATTTTATTCCAATACAAACAGTTCATCTTCCATGAAACAGTGTGTTGTCTGTTTACAAATATGCGGTGCAAGAGCAATTAAAAATTACAGTCATATTCATTACATTAATATTAATTCTCTATTTCTTAATACTAATATACTTAATATTTCTAATCACAATAACAATCGTCATCTTAACATATTTAATTCTCCTTTAACTTATATTTTACTAATTCATATTTATATTCATATTCATACTAATTCATATTTATGATGGTTGCACTTTCCCGGTGTCCAAGTGGAGTGGGGTGGAAATGGAGATTTTGCAGTATCCTTCCCCTGCCACGCCCACCAAACCAGACCACGCCCACTAAGCCACACCCACAGAACCGGTAGTAAAAAAATTTGAATTGCACCACTGCATTAAATGAAGAAGATGATGATGATGATCCTTGCCTGCTGAGAGTATTTATTTAGGGCTCAGCTGTGCTGCAGCTGGATCACACCCACACCCATGCTCCAGATCCAGCTCTCCCTAAAGGAATTTAGCCTCATCCCACTTCCCAGGCCCTCCTCCCTCCTTTGCAGAAGTTAAACCACCTGAAGAACTTTCTCAGATTTTTTATTTTCTTTTTTAATAAACTGAAGGGCAATTTGGTGGAAACCACAGACCATGAACGGGGAGGAACAAAGCGCAAGGCAGGTGCAATTTTTTTCTTGTGTTTTATCTTGTCACCCAAGTCCAGTTGCACAATATCTATTTGGACTTAACACTTTATTTATTTAATATTTACATTTATTTACACGAAGCATCTTCTGCATATTGAGGATGGGGACCGAATGCGTGACCCGATACCGATCCGAAAACGTCTTTAAAATCTCAGAATGAAAATAGCAAGGAATGGAACCAAACCAGTCTCATTCCTTGAACGAAGCGGATTCCTGATCGCTGTTTTGATAAACTTAGCACGGCTATAAATGATCCTCTACTTCAGTGTTGGTCAACACTGCAAACTTTTAAGAGAAATGGATTTCAACTCCCAGAATTCCCCAGCCAGCCGTGCTAGCTAGGGAATTCTGGGAGCTGAACCCCATATTTGCTGGCTGGGGAATTCCAAACCTCTCTTTTTTTTTTTTTGCAAAAAGTTTTTCTTATTATTTTAACCAAACATACGAATTTCATCTTTTCGGAACAGAGCTTTGATCCGGTCATCAATTTGTACAATTTTTTGTCATCTTGAACAAAGTTTTGTATATTCTATTTTGCCATAACACTTATTTCTCAATCTTAAATCACATATTCAATTAATACCACCTTATTTTATTTATTTATTTATTTATTTATTAGATTTTTTTACCGCCCCCTCTCCCGAAGGACTCGGGGCGGTGAACAGCCAAAATTAAAAAACATACAATATAAACATTAAAATACGTTTAAAACAGAATTAAATCCAAAATGGCTCCCCAATTTAAAACGCCTTACCCATGCCCCTATAAATAAGACGAATTTAAAATTTAAAAATTTACTTAATCAAAACAATTACCCTTCTATAAACCCACCTAAAATCTTAAAATCAGTTACTATCTCATAATACATTTATCAAATTTAAATCTTATCTCTAATCTTAAAAATATAGCAATTTAACATTTGACTTTTAGACATAGTTCTTCATTCAAATAATGCTATTTCAATTTGAAATCCAAACCTCTTCAAGGGCCTGGTGGCTCAGCAGACTGATAGCATTGTGATTAACACCAGCTGTCTGCAATTACTGTAAGTTCGAATCTCACCAGGCTCAAGGTTGACTCAGCCTTCCATCCTTTCTAAGGTAGGTAAATTGAGGACCCAGTTTGTGGGGGCAATAAGCTGACTTTGTATAAATATACAAAAGTATGAAGGCTATTGCTTAGCGCACTGTAAGACGCCCTGAGTCTCCGGAGAAGGGCGGCATATAAATCAAATTAAAAAAAAAAAAAAGTTGTCAAGATTGAGAAAGACTGCTCTTTCTGATGGAGGGTTGGACCTGCGTCTAGAATTCAGAGAAAACAAAACAAATATTGATAACGATGATTTTTCAAATATCTCAGACCTTGGGCATTTCATCACAGGAAAAGGGAAAAGCAGAAGCACCATAAACCATTGCAAATGTGAATGAACAAGGGGTTGTATGCAAGGAGAGGCAATAAATGCAAGATGGTGGCTACCATTCTGGATTTAAAATCCCTACTAAAGTCCAAGCATGCCAGCTCATCGTTCCCCACTGTTTGGAAGTTTCTCCTTAATTCCAGCTGGCTTCTCTCCTTGATTAGTTCCCATCCATTATTCCATCCATTGTTTCCATCAAGGGTGAAATCCAGCAGGTTCTGACAGGTTCTGGAGAACCGGTAGCGGAATTTTTGAGTAATTCGGAGAACGGGCAAATATCACTTCTGGGTGGCCCCAGGAGTGGGATGGGAATGGAGATTTTGCAATAGCCTTCCGCCAAGAGTGGGGAGGGAATTCTGCAGTATACTTACTTACTTACTTTATTTGATTTATATACTGCCCTACTCCCGAAGGACTCAGGGCGGTGAACAGCCAAACAGTAAAAATACATAGATACAAAATTTAAAAACAAAGTAAAATCAAATTAAACAAGCTGGCCCAGACAGATTAAAATTATCCTTCCCCCAGGAGCGGGGAGGGAATGGGAATTCTTGAGTAATTCGGAGGACTGGCAAATACCACCTCTGGATGGCCCCAGAGTGGGGTGGGAATGGAGATTTTGCAATATCCTTCCCCGAAGAGTGGGGAGGGAATGGGGATTCTGCGGCATCCTTCCCCTGGAGTGGGTTGGGAATGGAGATTTTGCAGTGTCCTTCCCCTGGAGTGGGGTGGGAATGGGGATTTTGCAATATCCTTCCCCGAAGAGTGGGGAGGGAATGGGGATTCTGCGGCATCCTTCCCCTGGAGTGGGTTGGGAATGGAGATTTTGCAGTGTCCTTCCCCTGGAGTGGGGTGGGAATGGAGATTTTGCAGTATCCTTCCCCCTGGAGTGGGGTGGGAATGGGGATTCTGCAGTATCCTTCCTCTGGAGTGGGGTGGGAATGGGGATTCTGCAGTATCCTTCCCCTAGGAATGGGGAGGGAATGGGGATTCTGCAGTATCCTTCCCCCAGGAGTGGGGAGGGAATGGGGATTCTGCAGTATCCTTCCCCTGGAGTGGGGTGGGAATGGGGATTCTGCAGTATCCTTCCCCCAGGAATGGGGTGGGAATGGGGATTCTGCAGTATCCTTTCCCTGGAGTGGGGTGGGAATGGGGATTTTGCAATATCCTTCCCCGAAGAGTGGGGAGGGAATGGGGATTCTGCAGTATCCTTCCCCTACCAGCCCACGCCCACAGAACCGGTAGTAAAAGAAAATTGGATTTCACCACTGGTTTCCATGTATGTATGTATGTATGTATGTATGTATATGTATTTCGGTTTGGTTGTTTTTTTTCCCTCCTGGATCCCAGCTAACCCAAAGCGATTTGCTTACTTTCTGGCGCCTCAGAGGGGGGGGGGGGGGAGGTTAAGTCAGGACCGGGACGGCGTCTCGTGGGAACGCGGTCCAGCTTTTCAGGAGAGGCTGGCGAAGCCCCGTGCGAGTCCCAGCTCCAGCCGACCCGAGCTCCAGTCGATCGGCTCCACCTGGTCTGGCTCCCCCCCGCCCCCTCCCCTTCCCTCGCCCTCCCTCCCCCACCCCCCCACCCCCCGTGTCTAGACGGGCCCCTCCCGCCTTCCCGACGCTGCCCGCAAGCCGGTTGTGCCCCCGTGGCGTTCCGACGTGGCCGGGCAGCTTTTGCAGCCGTTGCGGAGGAGCAGAAGGGAGGCGGCGGGGCAGCGAGATCCGGAACATGCGAACGGGGCGGGCTCCCGCTTCCACCGCCCCCCTTTCGGTCCAGCCCTTCCCCGCCAGGCGGTCCCCGCCACAGGAAGCCCCGGCAGCGGCCTCCGAGGGCCCCGCAGGGCGAGCCACAAGGCCGAGCAGGTCCAGGTGAGCCGCTCCCGGAGCCTCGTCCCGTCCCGCCCGTTCTTTCTCCCCCACCTACCAGCCCCGAGGCGCTCCGCCAAGGCCGGCCGAGGAAGGCCGTGGGAAACGGGCGGGATCGGGAGGCTTGGCGGGTCTGCAGGGGAAAGGGTGGGCAACCTCGGCAACCTCGGGGCGGGTAAGGGAGGCTCTCCTGGCTCCGCCGTGGCGGGTGGGCAAGCGGGCATTGTGTGGGCCGGGGAATTGCAGCCGGGAAAGAAAGAAAAAGAAAGAAAGGAAGGAAGGAAGGAAGGAAGGAGAGAGAAAGAAAGAAAAGAAAGGAAGGAAGGAAGGAGAAAGAAAGAAAGGAAGGAAGGAAGGAAGGAGAGAGAAAGAAAGAAAGAAAAGAAAGGAAGGAAGGAAGGAAGGAGAAAGAAAGAAGGAAGGAAGGAAGGAGGAGAGAGAAAGAAAGAAAGAAAAGAACGGAAGGAAGGAAGGAAGGAAGGAAGGAGAAAGAAAGAAGGAAGGAAGGAAGGAGAAAGAAAGAAAGAAAGAAAGAAGCCAGGGGGGAGGGAGAGCCGGATTTCCCCCCTCCCACTTTTGTTTCCCCCCTCCCACTTTTCCTGCCCCCCCACTTTTCCTGTCCCCCCTCCCACTTTTCTATCCCCCTCCACTTTTCTTTTCCCCTCCCACTTTTCCTGTCCTCCCCACTTTTCTTGCCCCCCACTTTTCCTTTCCCCCCTCCCACTTTTGTTTTCCCCTCCCACTTTTCCTGTCCTCCCCACTTTTCTTGCCCCCCACTTTTCCTTTCCCCCCTCCCACTTTTCCTGTCCCCCTCCCACTTTTCCTGTCCCCCCACTTTTCTTGCCCCTTCCCACTTTTGTTTTCCCCTCCCACTTTTCTTGCCCCCAACTTTTCCTGTCTCCCCTCCCACTTACTCTGCCCCCCACTTTTCCTGTCCCCCCTCCCACTTATCCTGCCCTCCACTTTTTTACACCCCCCCCACTTTTCCTGTCTCCCCTCCCACTTTTCTTGTTTTCTCCCCCCTCCCACTTTTCCTGCTCCCCTCCCTTCCCTTCCCCTCCCCTGGCCCGCCTAGCCGGATTCACGTGCGGGCGGGCTCGGGTCCTTCAGCTGGCCCCGCGCTTTTACTCGCGAGTAAGCGCGGCTGGAAGGCACCGCCTGGGAAACGGGGACGGTGCGGGCTGGTGTGTCTCTCTCGGAGCTCGGACCGGGAAGCGCGTTTTTTGCAGGGGGGGGGGGGTTAAAGCCTGGCTGGGACTGGGACGGGCTGGAAAGGAAAGGAAGGCAAGAGGGTCTCTGAGCGCGCGCAGAGTGGCTTTGCTTGCCTGCCGTCTGCGGGGGAAACCCCCGATCCTATTCTCGGAAATCTAGCCTTAGGGGATGCAGGATGATCTAAATCCCTCCTTCTTTGAGGGGGGGGGCAGGATTAAGAACCTGGAGCATTCTGTGCATGCTCTTTCTACTTTGTTCTACAAGTTGAACCAGATGATGATGATGATGATGATGATGATTATTTATTATTATTATTATTATTATTATTATTATTATTGGTTAATCTTTAGTGAGATTCACAGCCTTTGAGGCTGCTTAATAGCTCAGCAGCTCGAGTCCTAACCAAGGACCTAGGAACTGTTAAGGTGGTTATTTTATTATTATTATTATTATTATTATTATTATTATTATTTTATTATTATTATTATTATTATTATTATTATTATTATTATTATTATTATTTAATCTTTAGTGAGATTCACAGCCTTTGAGGCTGGTTAATAGCTCAGCAGCTCAAGTCCTAACCAAGGACCTAGGAACTGTTAAGGTATCGTCGGAGGATGTAAGCTGTTCTGAGTAAGGTGGTTTTTTGTAGAGTCAAATTGTTCAAGTTATTATTATTATTATTATTATTATTATTATTATTATTATTATTATTATTATTATTATTATTATTATTATTATTAAAAAGTCCTGATTCCTTTCCATGCCAGTTTTGGCATTTGAAACCCAGGGAAAGGAAAAGACACCACTGAGTGGTTTTTTGTTTTTGTTTTAATATACCACTTCTGCTCTATTCCTAAAAGACATAATGGCAAGTTCTAGAAGATCCAAAGCGTGGATTTGGAGCCTGAGTGGTGTAGGAGGCTAATGCCTCCTACTAAGGCAGCATTTAACATCCAGCTGCCTGCAATTACTGCGAGTTCGAATCTCACCAGGCTCAAGGTCGACTCAGCCTTCCATCCTTTCTAAGGTGGGTAAAATGAGGACCCGGTTTGTGGGGGCAATAAGCTGACTTTGTATAAAATATACAAAAGGATAAAGGCTATTGTTTAACGCATTGTAAGCCGCCCTGAGTCTCCGGAGAAGGGCAGCATATAAAAATAAATAAATAAAAAAAATACGGGTAATCCTCGGTTTACGACCAAACGTGAGCCCTACACTTCTGTTGTTAAATGTTTTGCCCCTCGTTGTTAAGTGAATCGCTTACAGGTGTTAGGAAAGCAGTCATTAAGTGAAACCTGGCTTCCCCATTGACTTTTGCTTGTTTTTTTCTAAATTTTGATCATGTGACCAGGACCACAGTTGTAAGTGTGGAGAAATAACCCATAAGTCGCTTTTTCTGTGCCGTTGTAACTCAAAACGCTCCCTAAACGAATGGTTGTTAAATCGACGACTACTGTAGCCAAGGATAGGATGAGAATAGGAAATGCGCTAATCCAGGGTTCAGTCCTGTGCAATATGACAATTGTGTTTGCGTGTGGAGGGATCAGTAATCAACTTTACTGTAAAAAAAAAAAGAATATTTTGCATTGCTTTCAATCTTTGAGCGCTCATTGAATCTTTAAAGAAATGCAGATTTGCTTCAGAGATCTTCTTCCAGGCCTCTATGGATTGAAGAAGTATGGAAAATAAAGCTAGAATAAAGCTCTGAACGGTTGGCATTCATGAATACTCTTATTTTTTCCAGATTTGGGTTAAAAGCTTTGGCTAGAGAAGAGGGCTGTCTCTAGACTAGGATATGCTTGGAAAAGGTCATTTCTTGTTGTTTTTTAATCATATAATTTTATTACATTTTGCCGAAGCGTACACATTAAAAACGACAAACAGAAAAGATAAAGAGTAAAAAACAAAAAAAACAGGGATCGAAGTGCGAAAAGATATAAAGAAAAAGAAAGGAAAACAAAAAAAGATAGAATGACTTCTGACTTCTTCGAATCATGCACGGAACATTTTCATTCGACTCTTTAGTTTAAGGGTATAACGTCCGTTTTCCCTTCCCAAAAAGAAAAGGGGAAATTTAAAGAAAAGTTGTTTTTTTGTGTGTGTGTGTCCCTGTTTAAATTTCAACAATCCTCACATCCATATGTCAAAATTGGATTTTTTTTCTTCATTTTCTGCAAAATAATCCACAGAGGGCTTCCAATTATAAATGAAATTTCTTCAATGGTTTTTTCTCTCCTGAGGGAGTGCCGTTAACTTAGCCATCATTGCCAAATCCGTCATCTTTATTAATTGTTCCTCTGTTGTGAAAAGATGTTTCTGAGGAGAAATTTCCTGACGGTGAGAACAATTAATCAGTGGAACTCCTTGCCACCAGAAGTTGTGAGTGTTCCAACAATGGAGGCTTTTAAGAAGAGCCTGGACAGCCACTTGTCTGGAATGAGCAGGGGGTTGGACTAGAAGACCCCCAAAGTCCCTTTCAACTCTATTTCAGGTAGTCCTCAACTTACAACAGCTTGTTTAGTGACCATCACAACAGTACTGACAGAAGTGGCTTATGACCGTTTTATTCAGACTTAACAACCATTACATATCCCTTGTGGTCGCATGATCAAAATTCAGATGCTTGGCAACTGACTCGTATTTATGACGGTTGCAGTGCCTCTGGGCCATGCGGTCTCCTTTTGCGACCTCCTGGCAGCCAGAATCAATGGGGGAGCCAGATTCACTTAACAACCAGGTTGCTAACTTAACAGCTGCGGCAGATTCGCTTTTAACAACTGGGGCAGGCAAGGAAGGTGGTAAAATTCGCTTCACAACTGTCTGTCTTAGCGACAAGAAATAATTTTGGGCTCGACTGTGGTCGTAAATTGAGGACTACCTCTTCTTCTGGTGTCTGGAGCATTAAAAGGCTTGTGTAGCTTCCTCAGGACTGGGACCAGAGTCAAAACGGTCCCTCCCACAGTTTATCTTTTTGCCTGCTTGTTATCCTTTAGTTCTTGCAGTAGCTGTTCATTTATTTATGTTTATTGCACCCCTTTCTAATCCCAGAACAAGCTGCCTATCGCAGTCTTTTATCCAGCCCATTTCCCAGGAACTTCGGCAGGCATTTTTCTATTACTATTTTTTTTTTCCGTTTTAGTGCTGTGGTTTTTTTTTTTGCTGTTTTATATTCTTGCTGCTTTATATTCTGCTGACAGTTGTTTCAGGATGTTTATACACATGTTTTTAACCAAGCGGTAAGCTAGAACAAAACTTAGATGCTTTGAAGCGGCTACCTTAGAAATACAGCCCCCCCCCCCTTAGAGCCCAAAATGGCCCTCGTGCATTGACCAAAAGTGCTATTACTGATATTTATTATGGATTGTCCCACAGCCAGATATTCAGACTGGATTGGGCCTTTTTTTTTCATCCATCCAAGGAGTCCTTTCCAAGGAGCTGGGTTAAGGCAGAGGTTGTTTAAAGTCGTGGTAGAAGGATGTCAGTCGTTCCGCGTCAAGCTGCCTTTTGCAATTGACCGATGGTGATTTTTGTCAATGCCAGTGGGTGTTGCTCCCGTTGTTTTGGAGGAAACAATTAATAAGCTCCCCAAAGCTTATTTGGCTCCCCAAAGCGTCTTATTAATTACTATTGGGACTGCCTTTTCTTTCTCTTGCCACAGTCCGTTCTATTTTTTGTTGTTATCGCTTTTTTTGGGGGGGGGGGCACCCATCTCACAGTTCAAGGTGTGACTCTGAGCTGCAAAACAGCATTATCTGCGTGTCCCGTTCTCTCCCCTCTACCCCACC